TGCCAGTCTCCTTCTCTTCACTTTCACACCCTCTGGCTGAGGGCTGAGGAGATGCTTGGGATTCCTCTCCCCATCCCTATGACCTTGGACCTCCATGCCACGATCCTCCTCGCTCATGCCTTCCATCACAACAATAGCTATTACAAATAATATATTCAGAGAATCAATTTGGTGTGATAGTTAAGGCACCAACTAGAAATCAGGAGACCGTGAGTGCTAGTCCCATCTTAGGCATGAAGCCAACTGGTCAGTCACTCTCGCTCAGCCCTAGGAAGCAGGCAGTGGCAAACCACTTCCAAAAATCTTGCCAAGAAGAAAACTGCAGGTATTGGTCAAGGCAGTTGCCAGGAGCCAGACTCACTCGAAGGTGTGCACACTCATATATAATAAGGATATAAAGGAGTTAGCATCTCATTATTTATGAAAAATTAGTAATTAATTGCCCTTTCCAACCCAAAAGAACAATGTTAACAATTTATAGATTAGAACTGAAGGTGGGTGACACTCTGTAGGTTTAAAAGAAGCAATCTCACTTACTCACAGCTTTTGTTGCTCACAAGCATAAGTGCACTGACATAAGCTATTTAGGCTTCTGTGCAGCAACTGCATCAAAATGGAAACTATAAAATTGTACTCTACATTTGTCTAATTTTCCTGCAAAGGCACAAATAGTAAGTCAACTTTTCATTGGGTTAGTCCAGATTTTTATTGTGCACAATAGTAGCTTTCATCTTGAAGGTTTTTTATTAAATACACCTTGATATAGAATATATAGCCAATATTATATGTGCTGCCAAACTGAATTTTATTAAGTTTCAGAATCATCTCAATCATTGTTACATCTCTTATTGTATAACTGCATACCTGGGAAGATCTTCAAGTGTTTTGAACTATGATTTACTTAGCCTAGAAAGAAGCTATATTTCCATATGTTCCATCCTAGCACTTCTTCTGGTAAAGGGTAATGGCATACCAGAACCAAAAGGTCCCACTAACACCACCACCTAGAAAATTGTCAAATAACTATACTTTTCACGGAGGTAGGATTGAAAATTTTTCATAATTTCTAGCTAATAACCAGTAGCAGTGGATTCCAACCTCTTGCTGTGCTCCCAACTTTATATTCTGATGGATCCTTTAAATCAGCATTTGCTGATTCAGATGTCACAGAAAACTGGTTTAAGAAATTAAGATAGCTTTGTTAAAACCAGAAGCATTTGTGAAGCTGGAAATATAACACAGTTCAGATATAGTTTGTTCCTAGGATGACATTGCATGGATTTATTGGACTAAAAATATTATATCTGAACTAGGCCTTTACAATATAAATTTGATTATCCACAATAGGGAACAATGCATGCTGATGTGTAGAAGAAAAAAAAAAGTTAAAAATCAGCATTTGTTTTTTGAAATGGGAAAGGGACATTCCTACTGTCAGGAAATGAGTTTTGGAAAGCCACCTGTTGCCTTTGTATGTCTATGACTTCTATGTTTGTATGAAATTGACAAGAATCACAAATGCACCTTTCAGCTTGCAAAACTCCCTCACTGGATCAAATACTTTCTCAGTACACTGAATTATTTTCATTTCTGAAATATGAAGTCTAAATCAAGATAGTGAATACACTCTTTAAATATATTAAGTTGAATAATGATGTTTAAAATGAAGCTACAGATTCCAATAAGGTATGACTATTAGGAATATACTACAAAATACCAATTATAATCTAATAAGACAGACTGTCTGTTCAAATTAAAAATTCTTGAGTTTAAAAGCAGAGGAGAGAGAATTGCCAGGGAGGATAGCATAACATTTATTCGGGCAAATAAAAATGAGATGTGACATAAAAATATAAATAATGGTGTTAAAGTAGGGATGTCAAATGCTCCATGGGGGAGTACAGAGTCTCAAGAATCTTTTGGAAACTTTATCACAGAAATTGACATATACATAATCAAAAACAGACAAAAGAGAATTCACAAAAAGCTGTCATCAAGTTTTCTGTTTTATTTAAGATTTTAGTTTTAATTCTGAAGAAAGAGGTACATTTCCTTGTTTTTAGTTTTAGCGTCAGGTTATAACCATGTTTAATTTTATGTTTCTTTTTTTTCCTGTCTTTCAATACTGCACAAACGTCCAGAAACTACAAGGTTAAGTAAAAGCTGCAGGCAGAGGTCGTCAAAGGTTATGCTCCTGATGATGATCTTGTGGCCCCAATGCAGTGCTATCCCAGAGTGTCTTAATCAGGTGATAAAAAAAAAAAAGAGACTGACAAGAAGACAGAAAGATTGAAGTGAATATCACTCGTGTTTCAGCTGCTTATAATTATATTATGTATATGCTAGGTATTAAATCTGTGATATTTTTAAAACATTACATTTATTTGAAATCTAAAGCCAAAACTTTAAAAAATCCCCTCTGTTAAACCATTTCTTAGCAACATGTCAGTTATTTCTACAGGCAAATTGTCCTTTACCTACTTTATGCCAAAACTTTACTGACAATACTGTCCCACCCCTTCAAAAGAGAGAGAAAAAAGTATTTCCCTGTATAATCAACTCACAGAATGCAACAAGAATGTTGCTTCTCCCCACTATATCTCTGCACTGGATTCTGAATTTTGTATTATTTTTCTGCTATTGTCAACTTGACATTTTCTGCTATGCTAAAATAATTATGTGCAAAAGTTTTATGAAAATATTATTATGCACTTTGATTTCTCTCTCTTAGTGTGTTTAAAGAAATAGTTTTTAAACAGTGTATTTCAAACACTGACTCAGCAAAACATAACAAAAAAAATATAATAGTTATGACCCTGTGATTGCATTGCATTTGGAAGCTGGCTGGGAAAGATTTTTGATCAGGAACCAGATTCTTCAGAAAGAAAAATATGGAAGAGGGGCCATAGATGGGTACAGGAAGTCTGGGAGGAGCAATTCCTGCATTTCTAATGTTTTTGTACTTTTCCTAATGACGATCCAACGCCGAGCTCTGTAGTAAATCTGTGGGGGGTTTACTGGGGGGTCTGAAAGCTGTCTGAAAGCCTGGGGGAGGAGAGTGGAAACTGGCAGGGTTTGAAGGAGGGGAATAGGGGTTCCAGCTGGCTCTGTGCAATGGAATTTGTGTACTGAAAGGGTTACTGTGGGGGGTCTGTGTTGGGGCAGCACTGGGGCCATCCATCTCTGTGAGAGCCTGAAGAGACTTTAGCCAATGTGGTGGATTGTCGTCTTGAAGAGAGTCTAAACTGTTTCCAGCGGAGGCTGGGATACCTAGGAAGAAGAGAAACACAGGGGGAGAAATAGGTTAACTCAAAGCAAGTAAGAACTTCATATTTGAAATAGGACAGCATAATTTAACCAGTAGCCAGATCAGAAAGAAGAATTATTAGCTTGCAGAAATGAAATGACTATTAATACAGTTTTTCAAACACAACTGAAGTTGAGTTTTCCTGGGGAGCATTTGTCCCTTAAGATGATTTTTCACACTTGCCCAGATATTCATCCATAATCATATACAATTACTTCGTTTTCAACCTTTCCAAATCATAATTAATCTTTACAAGGGAAACAAATAGCCTTATAAAGAGAGCTTTATAAACAGTGGAGTATGTCCCTTTTTAATGAAAAAAAATCCAGTAAAAATTCAGTACCTAGGAACCATATTGCAAAGAAAAGCATGCCATCAGATGATGTGGGAACCTACAGAAACCTAAGATATGCTAAGAAAGATGTCAGGCATGCAACAGAAAAGATTGTGGGGTATTAATGTTCATTTGTTCTAAGATTTCTGGGCCTCTTGAAAGTTGGTGGATGGAAGCTGGAAGAGACCACCGCATTGAATTGCTTTTTTCCAAAAAAGGAGTATTGATTAATTTGTGCCAAATATGCACTTGACAATTGTCAATGGAGCTGAATGAGCGAGAAATTGTTACCTGTGATGATTGCGGGGTCCATCCAGCTCCCAGGGCTGTCCCAATTCAGGCTGTCGGTTGTGGCAGTGTTGGACGTTGGTACACTGTGGTTGGCGTTGGAGGGGGAAGTAGCATTGGGCAGTCCACCAAAGTTGATGTTAATGTTCGGTAGAAGTGCCCTTAGCCCGTCCTGCCATTCCTTCATATTTAAACTCTCTACAGAACTGTTGTTGTCTGGGAGATTTATCAACAAAAAAAAAAGAAAAAAGAAAATGAAAGATAGAAAATAAAAAGCTGAAGTTAGAAACAGATGCTGTTTTTAGTGAAAGATGGTGGCTCTCTAAGCATTTAACACTGATTTCCTATCAAGAGAATGGGAGGATGATATATCAAGATGAAGCTTGAATGCTGAGCTGCTGTAGAATATAGAATTATTTAAACATCTAGTGGAGAAAAAATTAAATCCTTCCCCACTAAATCTGGGCAGAAACCTTAACAATTGAAAAAAGAATGATTCTTCCTTTACTAGCAAGAAAATAACCACATCTTTTATATGAAAGCAGCCTTACTCATAGATAAATTTGCCTGCTTTGCTTAATGGTAGGGTATTTAACAGTTTCCTACACAAAGAAGATACAAGCAAGATTACCGAATCCTCACCAGGATTACAGCTGCAAAAGCCTTCTAAATCTACTTTCAAAAAGGGAAAGACAATAAGTACTGAAAGTGGGAACAACCAGAATCTCAGAGAGTGAAGAGAGAAGGAATTTCTAATATTTTTCAGAAAGATTTCAACAAGCTGTAAAGTGGAAGACCAAATGCATTATCATACTGATCTACAAAGCTACAGCATCTCTACTTTTTAAGGAAGACAAATTTAGTGGCAATTTTTAATCTTACAGGAAACTTCCAGCAATTTGGTTTTTAATCCTATCAATACCGCACTCTTTGAACTTCTCTCAAATATACAACTTAGAAAATACCTCATCAGATATGGCAACAACCACTAGATTAGGTAATATTGTATTTAAAAGGGATTTGCCATAGTTATAGGAAAAATGCCTTTCAACAGCTATCAAAACTAAATGGAATGTCCAAGTCTCTGGGGGAAACCCCATAGGTATTCTTAGGGGACAATCAGGAGGCAGATATCAAATATTCAAGAGTCACGTAGCTAGCCAGTGACTACCAAAATCCTCCATTAATAGATCCTAAGCAATATCCTTTATACCCTTCACAAAACAAAACATCACCCATCTATTTTGACCAGGCTCTCCGTGTTTAATCATTATTAATTGTGCTCTATACACCAAGGAGCAAAAGTCTGAGAAGTTTTGCAAAGAGAAAGCAGATGATTACAATACTTATTCCGGAAAATATAATCTATGTATATGATTGAGACAGATTCTGGGACTGATCCAACAAGACTATTTTCAATATATTCAACATAAATCTGTGTTATGTAATACCACTCATTGTATTTCAAAACAACAGACCAAAAGGAATATAAAAGAAAGAGATCAGATCAGAGCTGCAGAATAATTTCTGATTCAGTTCAAAATGGATTCAGTTTACATATTCATTCATGACTTGTCCTTAAAATTTCTTCTTTGAGAAGAGGAAATTGAATTGCAGTACTTAAGATGTCTTCAATTAAGATTTGTGTTAATCCCCACCCCAAAACACTGTTGTATCTTTATCACAAAATTTACACAGTGAGAACTAAAACCACATAGTTATACTACATTTAGTATTTTGTCACTTCTAGTAGCTAAAAATCACCGCTATTAAACACCTGAATTCAGTAAATATAGATGTTACTATTTCATACATGAATAGTTTTCAATAGTTTAAGCTTCCCAAAACTGACTAAACATCCTCAAGAATTACTTCAAAGATTTCAAGATATGTTGGATATATATCTTGTTCGATACATCTGCAACTTCCTCTTTCCTGCCCTCTTCCTTCATTTGGCTTATTGGGAGTGGGGAAAAGAACCACACACATTTCAGTAGGATTAAACCCACTTAAATTCATATAAGAAATTATAGCCTTAATATTTTTAATTAGAGTTTGTTCAGTTTAATTCTAAGTAATTATCATTCATATTACCTAGATGGAATAATTTATTTATTGAAGGCCCAATTTTTCATAGTATGCTTTTGTGTTTGCAAATATATAATATTAATATTCCTTCCAATTTTCAGTCATATAAAAGCCATTTAACTATAACACAGCTAATTTCAAGCCAATATTGTTCTTAAACATTAGTCCTTTCATGGACTCCTCTTTCCTCCTCAGTATTTCAGTGAGATTAGAACGACCTCCCTTTAATGCTGTGCTTACAGCAGAGAGAGATTGAGAGAGAAATTTAATAAATTATTATTATTTGTATAGCCTATGACCAACCATACAGCCCCCCCATCCCCACCCAGTACACAGAAAACTGTAATGTTAGGAAGGAGACAAGTCTGTACTTCTGAAATACATTATATGATTATCGTTGAGCATACACAATATCCAAAGCTTTTTGAGAAAAAAAAAATGCCACTGGATCCCAAGTCACTATGTTTATGAAATTCTTTGGCACTTAGCATATATTTATTAGCTTTGTGATTGTTACTAGAAATGCGAAAGATCTGTTGATAAAAGTTAATTCTCATCCCCAACTGTAAAATATGATTTTTGTTGCTATATTAACTAATTAAAAAGCTGCTCTTGACTGATAATGGGAGGTTTACTGTATCCAAAAATAATAGGAAGAAATAAAACATGTCCAATCTTAAATCTTTTAAAGAAACTGTTAATTTAATCATGTGTTATATATACACACACACACACACACACACACACA